AGTTTCCTTTCTCCATCCCATCCTGAGTGCGAACCAATACCTCGTACCCCACAAATGGCGACCCCGGAGTGACCACTCACACAGGATGGAGGAGAAACACAACCCCACAAATGGTGACCACCGGAGATTTGCATTCATACAGGATGGAGGAGAAACCGATCACTCTCCCAGTCTTCAAGCAACATGGAAGACTGGCTTATCCACACAGAGGCAGCTCTCATCGGCTCTACAGCTACTGTCTCTACACCGCAGGTTAGACACCCTAGAGCAGCTCTGCTTCTCTAAGCAGACACCAGCTCCTCTTCCTGCCCCAAGCACCACGTCCTACCGACCCCAGCACACCCGTCCTGCCTCAGACGCCGCCCCCGGCCCAGCAGTACCCTCTTCGACTGTCATGGACCCTCCTCCGCTCCTGCTTGGCAGCCCCTGCTCCCCACGCTGCCCATGTACCTGAGGCGGCCCCACACACCCTTTTTTTTCCCTCAGGTACTCCCTGCTACTGTCCTGCACCCTGCTGCTGTCGTGGACCCTGCTGCTGTCATGCACCCTACTGCTGTCATGCACCCTGCTGCTGTCATGGACCCTCTTCCTGACGTAGCCCCTGCTCCTGACCCAGACCCACACACCCCAGCAGGAGCACCTGAGGACTCTGTACCTGCCGCGAGAGAAGCACAACATTCATCGCCTCCACAACCCTCCTTCTCCCACAGATCTCGTGTATCTAGACAAAGTTGTCTACCCTAGCGGCCGGCTCATCCACGCCCTCGCCGTTGTCTCACATGTGGCATACAACCCAGCCAACAACAAGTCTCCTGCACCGCCCGTTCTGCCTCACAAGTGGGATGCAACCCTGCAGGCAACAAGTCTCCTACACCACCTGGAGGGAAGGGGGAGTATTGTTGTGGATTCCTCCCCTACAAAAGCTGTTTGTCGCTGACTAGCCTACCCTCGAATTCCCCAGTGTATGCCTCGTGGTCTAGGTTAGCAACCAGCGCCGCCTTACATGACTGAGGTCAACTATTAAGCCACGCCTACCTCCGCTATATAAGACTTCACCTCGTGGTGACCTATCTCTTTCTACCTACAGCCACCAGCAAGCAACACCTCCTCCTCCGCTCCTGCCTGGTGGCTCCCGCTCCAGCCGGCGACCATGGCGACCCACAAGCTGGTCCTCCTCTGAGCACCCTCACCAACCAGCTCTCTCTACTCAATGCTTGTAACCATGCTGCCTTCCCAGCACCAAGCTGCATTGTACATCCAATACAATATGTATACAGAGAGCACATTGTGATTTTCCTTTCTCCATCCCATCCTGAGTGTGCACCAATATCTCGTACCCCACAGCATCACCTGACGCTGACTCTGCTGAGCCGGGGAGGCGGGCTGTAGCGGTACGAACACACGCACCTGTGGTGTCTTGACCTTACTTCAACTTCAGCCACCCTCACAGGTTCTTAAATAAGATGTTTCGATTTTCTTGTGCCGGGAGGACCAGGTATGTACAGTCAGCCAAAGATACAGCATCCCCATCCTGGGTCTTGTTCTGGTGATACTTGGTAAAGTAAGGTGTTGTCTAATGGTAGACCCTTTGCTATATGGCATCACGAAAATTATGACCAAGTCCCAGGTTGCTGATCTGACTTTCTGCCTCATTTACACACAATTGCCGAGTCTCAATTATTTCTCTTGCTATTGACAACGCAACATACATATATTGTGGGTCAGTGACCTGTGCCCAGGTGGGCTAATTCCCTTTAAAAAAAAGTCTTTGATTGTGATTGCTGGATCTATTTTCGGCTCTATCACTGTCAGAATAAATATTAAACAATCCAAAGGTAGAATTTTTATAATATTGTTATTGTTTTTGTATAGATTTTAAAATTGATATTGGTCTAAATACTGTATACCAAAGATTCAATGTAACTAATGTCAGATGCTGCTTGTCAAGAGTTAAAAAGAGTCGGCAGGGACGAATCCAGGAATGTCAAAAGGCGGGGTCAAAGAAGTTGTGGGTGGGGCAACATGGCGAGAGCAGCGATCCCACCCAGTTTCTTTTTGGGGGGGGGGGGGGGAGGCTACAAGCCCCTCCTGATTTTTTTTAAATCTAACCACTATCATGGGTCTGTTTAATTCAACTTTTAGCAACATGCCTACATCTATTCGGTGACCATTAAATTCACTCCCGTTAATTTGACTGCCAGGGGAGGATTCGCGCGCCAATCTTGAAGGGGGGGTGAGAGGGGGACCTCACCTAATAGTAGCGTATACCCTAATTTTGTGGGTGTGAGGAAGGGGAGCATGAACAGGTTGTGTGTAAGGTTTAAAAAAAATTATATAGAAAAAATGGCACAATCGCAAATTATATGTAAAATGGCACACACAAAAAAGTCCTCAGCCTAACCTAACCCAATTATTTTTTGTTTTTGCATGGTCCGCCAGTCACATCAAGATATAAGCTTTGACCTAGTCTAATCCATCAGTACAAGGTATGATAATGTATTTGCCCCTGTACAGTATTTTATGTAGACTGGATACTGAACTAAAGTAAGTTTAAACAGATGTGGCGATCAACAACATTAGTGGTGGCAGCAGTGATGGGAGCTACAGCAGTCTCCACAGCCTCCTTGGTGCAGGATGAGTGGGAACTGTTTAAGGTGAGCAATGACCACTGTTGAGTTTTTTCTTAATTTTTAATTTGATGAAAGGTGAGAACAGATTGGACCGATATTGCATTAATTTTGTGTAATCCTGATTAACCTATAGTGTACATTTTTATGTAAAAACAATTACAGATGCAGAAATGTATTCCTACACCCCCCATGGTAACCCGCTTCTCCAAACAGCAATGTCGCAGTAACAGTATCACTATTTATGAATGAATGGGTATTGGTCTTGTAACGACGGACGTGATTGGTGTATAGGTTTGCTATAAGTCATATAGGTTGGCCGTTTGGAGACACGGGTTACCACAGGGGGCGTAGGAACACATTTCCGCAACTGTCCAGTATGGCACACTACAGTACTGTATTTACAAAAAATTTCTGGATCAACTAAAGTTTAGTCCCCAGCTTATTAAGAACCCTCAAAGACTTACCCTAACCCTTCAGATAGTGTTAAGGTGTTTATTAATCAGGTAAAATAAGCTTGAGGGCTATGCTTCAGGTGATCCCAAGTTCTATTATAGTATATACTGTACAGAATGTATAATATAACATTTTACATATATCAAGATAGTTTCAATATAGGTGCAGTATATTGTACAGCAGTCTGAACTGTTTCATTAATCCCAGTACAGGTAAAGGTGCATATTTTCTCTGCATCTCATGTCTAGATCGGAAAGGTTTGAAGAGCATACTTGTGTTATTATTGTAACTTAAATGTTTCATCATTACACTAAAACCTGCAAAAATGAAATTTGGTAAGTGAATGTTTAATTGGAAGACAAGACACTAAGTATTTGTTGTTCCTCACCAGTAAATCAATTGGGAAACGGAAATTGAACTAAACATGGAAAAGTCTGAGGTAAAGTGAGCATGTCTAGAGCATGGTTAAGACTTCATGTTGTGTGTATAGGATTTTCACGTGTTACACATTTGTCTACTTTAATATTTTTTTTAAACACAATTTGTCCCATCTTGTATGTCTGTCATAGTTCTCAATCTGTGTTTTCATATTCCCTACCATGTATTAATACATGTCTTTTATCCCCCACCAGTTTGTCTTTGTGATTCACAAGTTTGATTTGTCTGTTCATTCAGTTTGTTTCTGCAGCTGGAGTACAATAAGCAGTACAACACTGATGTGAAGGAACAATTCCGCATGAAGATTTTCATGGATAACAAACACAAGGTTCTGGAACACAACAAAAATTTTGCCCAGAATATGACTTCCTTCAAACTCAAACTTAACCACCTAGGAGACATGGTAAGTCAGCTTTTCTCATACAGTTCATGCCTTTATTAATATCTTATGTTTATTAATTTATATCTATGGGGCTCTTTATTTATGTGTATATATTATGTCTTTCTCTTTCACCTTACCTTGGCATTTCAATGTACCTTCATTTCCTTTGTTATTGATTAGATCAGTTAGAATTCTTAAAACCCAATTTATTCAACAGTTGAGGCAAGAAATTATCTCTTCTATGACTGGCTTCACTGAAATGGACACCAAAAATGGCGTCCAAAACATAACTGCCATCTACATTCCTCCCGATGACGATGTGCTGCTGCCCTCCTCTGTTGACTGGCGCAAGAAGGGTGCTGTAACTGAAGTCAAGAAACAGGGGCAGTGTGCTTCAGGCTGGGCATTCTCAACAGTGAGTGAAACTTCCAAAGGGTACTATACACTACAGGCACTTTTACTAAAGCTTCACTTCTTTGGGGGGATATTTTCTTCTAGGATTGGGGGCTGTTGTGATATCTCTACAGTTCATTGTCTGTTAATAATCATCCTAAGGAGACATCCCTCCCCCCAACCAGACCGGGTCACTTGAGGGTCAGCACTTCCGCCGATGGAGTCGTCTGCTCAACATCTCGGAGCAGAACCTCATAGACTGCTGCCACCTGTGTCAAGGATGCCAGGGTGGACGTATGGACTACGCTTTTCCATACATCATGCAAAATAATGGCATTGACAGTGAGAGTTACTACCCTTATGAGGCCAGAGTAAGTACTGATCTCTACAGTACAAATGTAGGACACTTGGTTTGGACCAGGGTTGTAAGGACCTAATCTAACCAAACATAGTCTTACCGTGGCCCAAACATCCGCTCACTGTACAGTACAGTATTATGAACAAACAAAGATGTCATCGGATTCTTCTCTCTTGTATTCAGAAATGATCCTGTGCAGATATTATACATAAGGTTCTCAAGCAACCATTATATTTCTATTAAAAAAATGACTTGAATTTTTTAGATTAGTCATAATTATTAAAATGCATTAAAGATCAATGTATAATGAGACAAACTCTCACATGAAGAAGTAAGCTAGGAGTTTATAGTAGTAGAGTATTATAGTGAGAGGAAATGGTAGCGTGTCTCGAGGGTGTGATGTTAACACTGTATATAAACACAGGCACAGTACAAGTGTAGTATATAAAACACCAATGCGTGTTACAGCTTTATTTTACTAGTTCAATAGGGGGAATTAATGGGGGGGTTCGTACACAATTTATGATAGACTATGGTATTCTCGTATGACCTAACCTCACAATTAGAATGGGCACTTCACTAAGTCGATCGTTGGGGAGGTTCGGGATCACCGCACTTCTACCGTCTACACAGCCAGCACTTACTGTTACACGTTGAGTTGACAGCACTCTGTCGATGGACCCGGCTGAGACTTCGTTGCCTTTAGCGACGGACTTCTTTGATGAGCGGGACAGAGGACGTGGTTGCTGGCCCTCCTTGGTTATCAGACTCTTCTGCCCGGGGAAAGGAGCTCCAGCCCCTATATATTGGACGAGCCGGGGGGTGACCTCTCCTACTTAAGTGGGTGTGTCTTGACCGGGTTGTTGGGTTGGGTAACAGGGGTGCTGGCCGGTCAGCGGGTCCTTGATCTCCCTTGGGTCAGGTCTGGACAGGTGTTTGCCCAGGTGAGGTCATGTCGCAGGACAATAGTGCTTTGTAATTATTACCACCCGGGTGGGTCTTGGCCAGGTGTGGTTTCCTTAATACGGTTATATCGTATGGGTACGCAAGTACTTGGGCCGGGGTCAGGTCTTGACCTGCGGTGTGTCAACCTGTGGTGTTAGGGTACCACGCGGTCTGTACTGTACTTGCTGTTATGTGTGATGTAATTCTGGGCTGTAAGCTCTGGTCTGATATTCCATCATTACACCTCCCGCCAAGACCAAAGCTTCCATCACAGAAAACTGATGGCACACATAGACAGCAATATCAAGTGTAGTGTCTAAGATAGTCCCTGAGTTTAGGACTGCTTTTATTGTCCTGGTGGCCCAGAGGTAGCGTTCCCCGGTCACAATTATAAGATCGTGGGTTTGAATCCTGGTTGGGTGAGGTGTTGATTATATGTAGAAGTCCGAGTGCTTTATTGGGCTTATGAAATATATATTGATCCTCGTGTTTTGAAGCCGCATTTGGTAAAACGTTGCTCTCATCACCTAAGCGGCACGCGTGGTCCCCATTAGAGGTTCATGGCGCCATAAGCTCGTTGAACAGGCTTTGTGTGAAATATACCAGAGTCTAGGACTGCTTTTATTGTCCTGGTGGCCCAGAGGTAGCTTTCCCCGGTCACAATTATAAGATCGTGGGTTCAAATCCTGGTGGGGTGAGGTGTTGATTATATGTAGAAGTCCGCGTGCTTTATTGGGCTAATGAAATATATATGGATCCTCCTTGTTTCGACGCCTCATTTGTTAAAACGTTGCTCTGATCACCTAAGCGGCACGGGTGGTCCCCATTAGAGGTTCACGGTGCCATAAGCCCGTTGAACAGGCTTTGTGTGAAATATAGCAGAGTCTAGGAATGCTTTTATTGTCCTGGTGGCCCAGAGGTAGCGTCCCCCGGTCACAAATATAAGATAGTGGGTTCAAATCCTGGTGGGGTGAGGTGTTGATTATATGTAGAAGTCCGTGTGCTTTATTGGGCAAATAAAATATATATGGATCCTCGAGTTTCGAAGCCGCATTTTGTAAAACGTTGCTCTGATCACCTAAGAGGCATGGGTCATCCCCATTAGAGGTTCACGTCGCCATAAGCTCGTTGAACAGGCTTTGTGTGAAATATAGCAGAGTCTAGGACTGCTTTTATTGTCCTAGTGTCCCAGAGGTAGCGTTCCACGGTCACAATTATAAGATCGTGGGTTCAAATCCTGGTGGGGTGAGATGTTGATTATATGTAGAAGTCCGCGTGCTTTATTGGGCTAATGAAATATATATGGATCCACGTGTGTCGAAGCCGGATTTGGAAAAACGTTACTCTGATCACCTAAGCGGCACGGGTTGTCCCCATTAAAGGTTCATGGCACCATAAGGTCGTTGAACAGGCTTTGTGTGAAATATAGTAGAGTCTAGGACTGCTTTTATTGTCCTGGTGGCCCAGAGGTAGCGTTCCGCTTTCACAATTATAAGATCGTGGGTTTAAATCCTGGTGGGGTGAGGCGTTGTTTATATGCAGAAGTCTGTGTGCTTTATTGGGCTAATGAAATATATATGGATCCTCGGGTTTCAAAGCCGCATTTGGTTAAACGTTACTCTGATCACCTAAGCGGCACGGGTGGTCCCCATTAGAGGTTAATGGCGCCATAAGGTCGTTGAACAGGCTTTGTGTGAAATATAGTAGAGTCTAGGACAGCTTTTATTGTCCTGGTTGCCAAGAGGTAGCGTTCCCCGGTGACAATTATAAGATCGTGGTTTCAAATCCTGGTGGGGTGAGGTGTTGATTATATGTAGAAGTCTGGGTACTTTATTGGGCTAAGGAAATATATATGGATCCTCGTGTTTCGAGCCGGATTTGGTAAAACGTTGCTCTGATCACCTAAGCGGGACGTGTGGTCCCTATTAGAGGTTCATGGCGCCATAAGGTCGTTGAACAGGCTTTGTGTGAAATATAGTAGAGTCTAGGACTGCTTTTATTGTCCTGGTTGCCAAGAGGTAGCGTTCCCCGGTGACAATTATAAGATCGTGGTTTCAAATCCTGGTGGGGTGAGGTGTTGATTATATGTAGAAGTCCGCGTGCTTTATTGGGCTAATGAAATATATATGGACCCTCGTGTTTTGAAGCCGCATTTGGTAAAACGTTGCTCTGATCACCTAAGCGGCACGCGTGGTCCCCATTAGAGGTTCACGGAGCCATAAGCTCGTTGAACAGGCTTTGTGTGAAATATAGCAGAGTCTAGGACTGCTTTTATTGTCCTGGTGGCCCAGAGGTAGCGTTCCCCTTTCACAATTATAAGATCGTGGGTTTAAATCCTGGTGGGGTGAGGCGTTGATTATATGCAGAAGTCTGCGTGCTTTATTGGGCTAATGAAATATATATGGATCCTCGGGTTTCAAAGCCACATTTGGTTAAACGTTGCTCTGATCACCTAAGCGCCACGGGTGGTCCCCATTAGAGGTTCATGGCGCCATAAGATCGTTGAACAGGCTTTGTGTGAAATATGGTAGAGTCTAGGACTGCTTTTATTGTCCTTGTTGCCCAGGGGTAGCGTTCCCCGGTCACAATTATAAGATCGTGGGTTCAAATCCTGGTGGGGTGAGGTGTTGATTATATGTAGAAGTCCGCGTGCTGTATTGGGCTAATGAAATATATATGGATCCACGTGTTTCGAGCCGGAATTAGTAAAACGTTGGTTTGATCACCTAAGCGGCACGGGTGGTCCCCATTAGAGGTTCACGTCGCCATAAGCTCGTTGAACAGTCTTTGTGTGAAATATAGCAGAGTCTAGGACTGCTTTTATTGTCCTAGTGTCCTAGAGGTAGCGTTCCCCTGTCACAATTATAAGATCGTGGGTTCAAATCCTGGTGGGGTGAGGTGTTGATTATATGTAGAAGTCCGCGTGCTGTATTGGGCTAATGAAATATATATGGATCCACGTGTTTCGAGCCGGAATTGGTAAAACGTTGCTCTGATCACCTAAGCGGCACGGGTGGTCCCCATTAGAGTTTCATGGCGCCATAAGGTCGTTGAACAGGGTTTGTGTGAAATATAGTAGAGTCTAGGACTGCTTTTATTGTCCTGGTGGCCCAGAGGTAGCATATCCCGGAAACAATTATAAGATCGTGGGTTTGAATCCTGGTGGGGTGAGGTGTAGATTAAATATAGAAGTCCGCGTGCTTTATTGGGCTAATGAAATATATATGGACCCTCGTGTTTTGAAGCCGCATTTGGTAAAACGTTGCTCTGATCACCTAAGCGGCACGGGTGGTCCCCATTAGAGGTTCACGGCGCCATAAGCTCGTTGAACAGGCTTTGTGTGAAATATAGCAGAGTCTAGGACTGCTTTTATTGTCCTGTTGGCCCAGAGGTAGCATACCTCGGTCACAATTATAAGATCGTGGGTCTGAATCCTGGTGGGGTGAGGTGTTGATTATATGTAGAAGTCCGGGTACTTTATTGGGCTAATGAAATATATATGGATCCTCGTGTTTCCAAACCGGATTTTGGAAAACGTTGCTCTTATCACCTAAGCGGCACGGGTGGTCGCCATCAGAGGTTCATGGCGCTATAACATCGTTGAACAGGCTTTGTGTGAAATATAGTAGAGTCTAGGACTGCTTTTATTGTCCTGGTTGCCAAGAGGTAGCGTTCCCCGGTCACAATTATAAGATCGTGGTTTCAAATCCTGGTGGGGTGAGGTGTTGATTATATGTAGAAGTCCGGGTACTTTATTGGGCTAATGAAATATATATGGATCCTCGTGTTTCCAAACCGGATTTTGGAAAACGTTGCTCTTATCACCTAAGCGGCACGGGTGGTCCCCATCAGAGGTTCATGGCGCTATAAGATCGTTGAACAGGCTTTGTGTGAAATATAGTAGAGTCTAGGACTGCTTTTATTGTACTGGTTGCCAAGAGGTAGCGTTCCCCGGTCACAATTATAAGATCGTGGGTTCAAATCCTGGTGGGGTGAGGTGTTGATTATATGTAGAAGTCCGTGTGCTTTATTGGGCTAATGAAATATATATGGATCCTCGTGCTTCGA